TGAGCTATTAGTTAAGTTCTCCCCAAGCGAGCTCGATGGGCCGAATGGCCTCCTCTCGTTTGTATAGTTCTTATGACTGTGCAAGATAGGTTAAATGTGAGATCCCTTCTGCCTTTGAAACTAGGACCCTACCCTTTAATGACAGGTCCCTCAATAGCCACTGATTCAGTTTTTTGAATAACAGGATTAAAGTTTAAGGAACTTCTTCTATATTTGTTTTTAGTGATAGTAACTCCTAAATAAACAATATCTGTCATAACGGGGATTTTACAATAATAAGATTCAGAACAGTCTTTGACAGCCATAAGTTCACATTTAGTCAAATTGAAAGATACTCCAGAAGCTTTGGAAAATTCATGTACGACTTCAATCGCTAAAGGAATTTGCTTTTCATCCTGTAAAAAATAGTAGTATCAGCTAATTGGGTTATAATTAATTATCTGCCCAATATTGAGAGGCTTATATGATTATATGGTAATTAACCGACGACAGGCTTTTACAACCAGGGACAGATCGGCCAGCAACATGGCGGCTTTTCGAGTGAGCGCGCATGCGCGGAATCGATCGTGCAGCCGGCACGCATCGGGCACAACACGGCTGCCTCACTTCCGACTGCTATGTCACTAGCAATCGCCGACTGTTACATTTTCACTTTAGTATCGTGCTATACATTTTAACGTTCAAATAACGTTGTTGTGCTGTGTGAGAAAATAAGAAATTAAACATAGTTTAAAAACACTGAAAAAGACAAGCACGGCCCTTCACCCCTCAGTCCCGTGGCGCCAGAGCGCGTCTGGACGATTGCTTGTGTGCTGCAGGTGGGTGAGACTCATCATGCTCAGCAGTCCGGCGTGCAGGTTGGCAGGGAAGCCGAGTGGAGATCTCCATTATAAACATCACATTCGCCTTGTCCCAGTAGGCAAAACCGTGCGATAAACGCCGGAATACTTAACAGACTGCTATATAATATTCACTGCTCCACATTGTACCAATCGATGACAAATTGCCATCAATACAGTTTATGTACTTTAAAATCTAATTTGTCTTGAGGATAAAAGTTTCTAAAAACGACATGAACTGGCTCTTGCACAGTGCAAATCAGAATAGTATGGTTGCACGCATGTTTTGTATGTAGCTGCTATCGGGCGCAAGAAAACCCGGAACTAATAAGAGAAGTTAAAGTTTCCTCAGCAAACGGCGAACTGCGGTAGCAGTTGGCTCGAGATCATGTCAGTGAGGTTAAAGGTTATTAAATATAAGACAAGAAAGTTCTCAGGTAATCCATTAAGGCACTTTCTATGTTTCTTGGCGTTTTAAAAATACTGAAGTAAAGTAAAGCTGTCGGGGTTAACAGTGCAGTGTTTCTTGGTGCGGTTGTCAAGTCTGAGTGGGAAATGTGTGCATGTCCATACGAAGCGTTGTCTAACGGGGAATAGCCGGAATGGTCCGGTTAGCTTGGCACATGTGCGTCGTTAAGGCGTCTTTTCTCATGCATGATCTGCTCTTTCTCGTGCAGGATGTCGGACGGGTTTCTGATGGAAGTGTGTGTGGATTCGGTTGAATCTGCCATTAACGCAGAGAGGGGAGGTACTGTATGCTCATTTCTCGTACTTGCAAGCAGAACTACTTAGAGCATTTCGACACTGCAAAAGCCCTTGGATTCTTGCATTTAAGCCAAAGGCACTTTTGTGTTCAACACTTCATTTAAAGCTGTATCTACAACATACACACTTTTATAGTTGTTTCTTTAATATTTTTATCCAAAGTCACCTATAGTTTTTGACCATATATAAAACTAAACATTTCACTGGCGCCTTTCAGGGGGACTAACCCTCGAAAATTTCTCTGACTTAAGCTGACAGTTTCTCAAGCTCATCGTTGATCTATTAAACACTTGTTTTTTCCCCTTTCCCTGCAGCACTGTGTGTTTGTACAATGAGCATGGATGAGAATAAAGTATACAGATAAAGCTTTAGTTTGTTAGGTCCCAAGCTCAACTCAGTTATTTAGTGGTCAGAGTGGAAATAAACAGCTCATTTCTTCCAAGACAAGGATTTGTGCAATATTTTAAAATTATTTGTCTTTTTAATGTAATATTAAGAAACTGAAGAGCCATATTTCACTGTTCTGCCATTTGGAAAAGGGTGTTTCTCAATAGGTGTACTTCACCATACTTGTCTTCTCGTGAACCCATTTTACGTCATTTTCCAGTGCCAAAGAGCAGTTCTAATAGTAAGAGCAGAAGCACAGAGGACAGTAAAAAAATTTACAGATTTAATTCTTGCCTCACCCCAAATACCATGGATGCATTGTTTGCATCCTCACCAAATAAGAACAATCCCATTTTTCACTGTGCCCCAAGTTCATTCTTGGGAGGAAAGTTAGCAAGACCACTTTTGTCATGACCACAAGTATAATCTTTGTGTTCTTGGTGTTAAGAAACACCTATGGTGAGTGGAATATGCTGGTCTCCCCTATCCAGTGAGGATAGCTTTGATTAGACGGTGAATCTCCACACTGTCCAATGAAGACAACTTTGATTGGATGGTTAATGTCCACAATGTTCAGTGAGGACAGCAGTGATTTGTCTGTGAATGTCCTTTCTGCAGGTGCAGGTCGTCTTGAACTTTGTTCCAGTCTGTTGGAGGGAGGAATCACCCCCAGCATTGGTGAGCTGTTCACCGGAGTGTGCTCGCAAATGGGCATGCAATTAGCATTTAAATTTAATCGCTACTAAAAGTAACACACAAGTGTAGTTGTATATCTTAGCACAATGTACATTATGTAGTATCTATAATATGTTCACAATGAACATATATGTTTGTGTCGTATAAGCTGATATGTCACCCCCTCTAAAGTGAGGAAGAGCTAATGTGTGTTATTGGTTCTGCCCTGATATCCAAATTCCAGGCCTTTTGCGAGTGGTGAAGCAGTTTGTTCACATCCCTGTCTACGCTATGATCCGGCCCCGTGGGGGAGACTTCCTGTACTCAGACCGCGAGGTGGAGGTGATGAAGGTGGACATTGAACTGATGAAGAGTCATGGGGCAGATGGCCTGGTGCTGGGCACCCTGACAGAGGACGGGCGCATTGATACAGAGCTGTGTGTGGAGCTGCTGTGTAAGTCACAGGGGTCAGGCTGGGGTCAGGCTGGGGTCAGGCGGCACCTGGGTACTGTGTCATGAGCGGGCAAGCAGCTACAATTACTATTTTGTGTGAAGCTTGTACCGTTTCTCTGAAGGTGTTGTAAATGTGAACATCACTGACCCGAGGAATTGAGCTTTGCTGTATCACGTTCCTCACCCAGTCTAGGAGTATTTATTTTTCAGTGAAGTACCATCTTATGGTGTGTTGGAGTGATTAACCCAACTGTTCCTTTTTCCAGCGGTCTGTCGCCCGTTACCGGTCACTTTTCACAGGGGTAAATACCAGCATCTTACCTTCTTACTACAGATGATAATTGCCAAAGTTTGGGTTCACTTTTGTACTCGTAGTAGTTTTGCTTAAACAAAAATGTTCTGAGGGCAGAACCACTGAACCAATCAGAATGTAGAGGAGGTGCCTCTGGAGGACATCTGTGGCCTGTACTACGAAGCGGGGTTACTGGCTTATCTGGGTACCTTGCCGGATTTAAGTCTAGGCGAAATGTAATGAACAAATATGAAGTCCGTTTAAACTGGGGTACCTTAAATCTGACAAGTTACCCCGATAAGCCAGTAACCCCGATTCGTAGTACAGGGCACTGATTGTTTGGTCCTGCCTCCTCTAGTTGATCATTTTTACTTTTGCCCTCAGAACATTTTTGTGTAAACAAAACTTCCATGAGCCACTTGTGCATCCATCGATATTGTCAGATTATTCTCATCTAGAAAAAATTTACCCCTAGACAGAGAGAAACTGATCTCAGATCTGTTCAAACTGTACCCTCCAGCTTTTGACATGGTCTGTGACCCTGTGGTGGCCCTGGAGACCCTCATCTCGCTGGGCTTCGAGCGAGTACTGACAAGCGGGTGTGACATCTCAGCTCTTGAGGGGCTTCCCCTTATCAAGCGGATGGTGGAGCAGGTGATGGGGGTCTGCTTGGGGGGGGGTGGGATTTGTGGCCTGCCCCTCTAATGGCGCTTTTTCATTACCAAAAAGAACTGCAAAGAGCTGTACCGCAAAGTGACGGTTTTCCATTGTAAATTTTGTGAGCCGCACCTGACTTGTACCTGTGCTGATAGGGCCAAAAGCATGACTGAACCCAGCTGGCTGCGTCACCACCATCCAATTGAAATGCACAGAGATAGCATTCCTGAAAACTCTGAACTTGAACATTTCCAACGCCTTTACAGAGTCGACCGTTCTGTAGTGGAAAAACGAAGTGAGCTGGAACCGTGCTGAACCTTGTCTCTCTTCGCGGTACGGGTCGGGTGCAGTTTGGTTCCTGTATGCCAGTGGAAATGTGCCAGAAGTGGTTAGCATGTGACTTAGGTTAACATGCGCAAGTGTGTGTATCCAGCAGAGCAGTGTTTCTCAGTCCAGTCCTCAGGGATCTCTAGATATTAGAGAGATATTACACTCACCTAAAGGATTATTAGGAACACCTTTTCAATTTCTCATTAATGCAATTATCTAATCAACCAATCACATGGCAGTTGCTTCAATGCATTTAGGGGTGTGGTCCTGGTCAAGACAATCTCCTGAACTCCAAACTGAATGTCAGAATGGGAAAGAAAGGTGATTTAAGCAATTTTGAGCGTGGCATGGTTGTTGGTGCCAGACGGGCCGGTCTGAGTATTTGCTGGGATTTTCACGCACAACCATTTCTAGGGTTTACAAAGAATGGTGTGCAAAGGGAAAAACATCCAGTATGCGGCAGTCCTGTGGGCGAAAATGCCTTGTTGATGCTAGAGGTCAGAGGAGAATGGGCCGACTGATTCAAGCTGATAGAAGAGCAACTTTGACTGAAATAACCACCGAGGTATGCAGCAAAGCATTTGTGAAGCCACAACACGCACAACCTTGAGGCGGATGGGCTACAACAGCAGAAGACCCCACCGGGTACCACTCATCTCCACTACAAATATGAAAAAGAGGCTACAATTTGCACGAGCTCACCAAAATTGGACAGTTGAAGACTGGAAAAATGTTGCCTGGTCTGATGAGTCTCGATTTCTGTTGAGACATTCAAATGGTAGAGTCAGAATTTGGCGTAAACAGAATGAGAACATGGATCCATCATGCCTTGTTACCACTGTGCAGGCTGGTGGTGGTGGTGTAATGGTGTGGGGGATGTTTTCTTGGCACACTTTAGGCCCCTTAGTGCCAATTGGGCATCGTTTAAATGCCACGGCCTACCTGAGCATTGTTTCTGACCGTGTCCATCCCTTTATGACCACCATGTACCCATCCTCTGATGGCTACTTCCAACAGGATAATGCACCATGTCACAAAGCTCGAATCATTTCAAATTGGTTTCTTGAACATGACAATGAGTTCACTGTACTAAAATGGCCCCCACAGTCACCAGATCTCAACCCAATAGAGCATCTTTGGGATGTGGTGGAACGGGAGCTTCGTGCCCTGGATGTGCATCCCACAAATCTCCATCAACTGCAAGATGCTATCCTATCAATATGGGCCAACATTTCTAAAGAATGCTTTCAGCACCTTGTTGAATCAATGCCACGTAGAATTAAGGCAGTTCTGAAGGCGAAAGGGGGTCAAACACCGTATTAGTATGGTGTTCCTAATAATCCTTTAGGTGAGTGTATATACACACACTACCCAAAAGTATGTAATAAACACAAAATGAACACAAAATCCTTTAGTTGAGTGTATTTTTGCTTGCTCCTGGTGCCTAACATACTTGTATCAGGTACAGAAAAACTGGTCTAAGTCGCACGATGTTAATGAATTAATCAAAACACAGTTAATCATTGGTCGCACCTGCACTCGCTGTAATCCCAGTCTGGGCCTCGTCACAGTTCTTGTGGGGACAGCCACCTCTCTGCCAGATGGACATAAGCCATGTTTACCGCCCTTCTCTCTCAGCAGATGTTTAACTAGAATTCATTCTTCTTGCATTGACAGGCTAAGGGCAGAATAGCCGTCATGCCCGGTGAGTACAACCTATGCAATCCGTGCACATCACTACAACACGACACAGATGCCATGTTAAGAATGAAAAGAATGAAACAGCCGGTCGTTTCCTTTGATACATAGCCGTTCGCAGAAACTGCTTGCTGTCTAGATCTGGACATACCTTAGACAGAATGTGTAGATGGATCTGCTGATCCTCTGTGTGCTTGTGCTAGGAGGTGGTATCAGTGAACGGAACCTGCAGAGGATTCTGGAAGGTTCTGGGGCCCAGGAGTTCCACTGCTCTGCACGCTGCAACAGGGATTCAAACATGAAATTCAGGTGATCCATCCAGCTGTGTCTGACCCGGCTTGATTGCGGTTGTTTTTGTGTGTGATGCCCCAGCAGTGCTGTGCTTTGTGGTCGATCCTGTGGGTTCATCAGCTCCTCCCCACCCCGTAGGAACCCCCACGTGTCCATGGGCGCCTCGCTCTCTGCTCCAGAGTACGGCCTGAAGGTGGCCGACGTTGCTAAAGTGCGAGCTCTGAACGCCATTGCCAAGAACACCCTGTAGGATCCCAGGATCCCAGCACCCCAGAGAGTCATCTGGGGCAGCGTAAAATGGCGTCCGTCTTACCAGCGTGCAATGATCTGGGCCGCTGCCCTCCTGAGCCCCGCACAAACGCGGTGTTTGAAGAGTCTGGCAGACTACAAACAACCATCACCACCGGCATGACTGTGTTTACCTGATGACCGCACTTTGGTGGATGTCAACGTAGGTTAAAAATTGAGAGGTGTGAGTTCTTGCTGAATTTAATCCCGGCGACTGAAGTGATTGACTGCCAGAGGCTGTGATTTAATGTGATCGTTGCACGCTTGGGGGTCATTTCAGACCCCACGCTTCCAGAAACGGGAGGCTTGATGCTCAGAGTCCTGTCATAGCACCATGCTTGATCAGGTGAGCTCCTCTGGATGGCCCATCTGCCGTTTCTGGTTTGCTATCCGTGATCATGTCACACACTGTCTGTTTGAGAAGTGCAAGATCCCAGTTGTCTTTTTACAGCTTTTCATCTGTCGTTCTCCACAGTGTGTTCAGTCTCCTTCCGGTTCATATTTTGCCATTTGCTCAACATAGTACCACTTTATTTTTCTGTGATTTTTATGTCATCTTGATTTGTAGCCCATAAAAAAATTAGACTGTGACTTCTGAGGTGTGTCATTGAATTTCATGATGTTATTGAAGCAGAACCTGTTGCCATTATCTGATGAGTTTAATATGTTTTTAAACCAGGATTTGCAGATTTGACAAAGACTGAATTATGTTTCTCCGTCAGCTTTTGTTGCTCCTTTCTCTGCTTGGCTCTTGCTGGATCATTTGTGCTTCCTTGGCACATTGTCCTGGTGGATGGGTCTATTTTATTTGTCATCCCCTCATCTTGCTCCTCCTTCCCTCTGCCTTTCGTTCCTGACAGTATCTTATGGTGCCCGTCATCTATTAGTGTGCAATGCCCCCCACTCCCACCATAAAGCCCCCTTAAAACAGCTCACGTTCCCAGTATCTACCATGATGTATGTAGAAATGTGATGTTATCGGGCTGGCAGCAATTATTAACCAGATCTACTGCCACTAGGTGGAGGGTGAGGCACATGAGGCTGGACTTTGGGACTCTGGATGACAGAATAAAGCTTCCTCTACCATCTGGGTGTTATCCATGCTACACAAATTTTGACGCTTGTTATATGGCTTCCATTGATTGAACTTAATAAAGCTTTTGCTCCTCTTTTTGATGTATGTTGGTCACTTGGGTTGAGTTTTTACGGATTACATGCTACACGTCGAGCTATCTGTTAATCCCTCGTGGGTCAGTGGTGATGGATCTGTCAGGTCTCTGCGGTGCTCATTCAGTTCACTGTTCCTTATTCCTGGTCATTCTAATAGGTTGGGTTTCCCTTGCTCTCCCCTCCTTTAAACACCATGAAGCCTGTCCCCGCTTTAACAGTTGCCTCACTACTTCTGTTGTTCCCCTTCAGCTTCATTAAGCCTGTATTAGCTCCTGTCCCAAACACAGCACCTTTTCCTACCTCCCATCCCTGTCCCAGCCACTGTGATCTATAGCTCTCTACTACATGCTGCTCACCTTGCTGCCGGATTGGTGGGGGGGGTGTACGCCGGCCGTGTGACGGGGGACGGTGCAGGCAGCTCGAGGCGGTGGCCCTCTCCCCTGTGTTACATTCTTCTGTGGGGTAGCATCCAAATAATGACTCACTTGTTTTGTTAAGTGATGCAATGTGTATGATTTTGTTAGCAAAACATTACCACTGTATTACTGATATAATCATGAGTATGACTCTACTGTTATCTCATTTAGTTCAATATACAGCCAAACCAGACTTTGATCTTATGCACTGTGCTGTGGCCTTATGTTGGCTAATTTGCAGTGGGTATAGACAAGAATCATCTCCTGTCAAAATCACATTTAGTCACTTTACAGCCTGAAATGAAATCGCAACTGAATGTCTAGCTTTATTTACTCAGTGCAACTGATAATATTCAAGTCAATGAAAAACTAGCACCAGTACTGAAAAATAAAAAAATAAATGAAATTGATGTGTTCTGTGTGGATCCAGCTGTCCCTCCAAATTAGATGGAAGAGTGAGGAGTAAACTGGTCAGAGAGGCTGCCCACAGGCCAAAGGCAACTCTGAAGACGTTACAGGACTTTATGGCAAAGAATGGTCATTATGTGCATGTGACTACAGGTGCTCCACAAATGTGACTTGTATGGCAGGATTGCAAAGAAAGGCCATGTTAAGTCTCATCTGAGCTTTGTCAAAACCAGGGCTGTGGAGTCAGTAGATAAATGCTCCGACTCCGACTCCGACTCCTCAGTTTCTAAATCTTCCGACTCCGACTCCCCGACTCCGACTCCTCTGTATGTATATACTATGCTAATGTATTTTCTACATCCATTGAAGGAAAGGAAGGCAACATACATGTCATTTCACCACAGAACTACTGGCTAGGAAGCCAACACTCTACTATAATGCCAGATTAAAGACAAACACAATGAAAACAAGGTTTCAAGGGTAACACATAGCGAAGGGGAGCCGACGGAGCTAAGAACACACCAGGTGATTTTTCAGGTGTTTGACGCGTGATGACTCTTTGAATGGCCGAAAAATCGGCAGTGCATCTGTAAATGTATGGGGGGCTTTAGGCTAGGTTCACAGTTCCCTGTAACAGTGGAACACGACACAATGGAAAGCGGTGCCGCACCTTACCTGTGCATTACATCCCATATAGTGACGCATACAGTCAATGAAAAGCATGCTTCATGGTTACTTGACATGTTCGTTTTGTGGTAACATTATGCACTGCATGCATTGGGCTTTATTCTTACAGCAGAGAAGTAGTTCATTATGACTGTTTGTGAATTGGGACATTTCAACTTACTTTTTTAATTCCCATTTAAATTTAGTAGGAGTCGGAGTCGGTTAACTTTTTGCCGACTCCGACTCCGACTCCAGGTACCCAAAATTGTCTCCGACTCTGACTCCTCGACTCCGACTCCGACTCCACAGCCCTGGTCAAAACACACCTTGAAGATTCTGAGGCCAAATGGAAAGAGGCACTATGGTCAGACGAGACCAAAACTGAACTCCTTGCCCTCAATGCCGAACAATACATCTGGTGGAAGTCCAATACAGCTCACTATCCAAAGAACACCGTGCCCGCAGGAAAGCAAGGGGGGGGGCAGCATCCTGCTGCTCTGGGGGTGTTTCTCTGTAGCAAGGACTGGAGCACTTGTCAGGAGAGAAGAAAAAATGGATAGGGTAAAATATAATCAAATTCTTCATGCAAACCTGCTGCCCTCTGCCAGAAAGCTGATGTTTCACCTTTGAACATGACGATGACCTGAAGCACAAATTTGCCATAGAGAGGCAGAAGATGAACAAGGTGAATGTCTTTGTGTGGCCTAGTCAGAACCCGGCCCCTATCGAAAATCTGGAATGACTCAAAGATCGCAGCCCACTAACGGGCAAAGATTGGGCATATTCTGCTCCGTCTAGGTGTGCTAAGTTTGTAGAGTGTCTGAAAAGACTCAAGGGTGTAATTAAAGCAAAAGGGGCTCCACAAAGTGGGGGGGCTGATCCTTTATCAATCTCAGTTATTCCTGTTTTTAATTTTTCATTATTTTTTCAGGACTGATGCTGATTTTTTCTTTCACTTGTCACTTAGGAACCCAGTTACTTCTGAAGTGCAAATCATGAACAAATACTGTATAGTGGCTACTTGAGATAAAAGATGCGTCATGATTCATTAATGAAGAATAAACATGAGATCAGTATTTGACTTGTGTTATTCATTACTTTTCCCTTCAGTATTTCAGAAAGGTGTTTACAGAATTATCAGGTACAGTGGGGGAAATAGGTATTGAATGTGTCAACATTTTTTTCACTAAATATATTGTCGATGAGGAAATTTTCACCAGACATTGGTATTAACTCAACATTAAAATCCATAAATAAAGTTATGTGTAATAAAGTGGAATGACACAGGTGATTGACTGGGTAATTCTAACAGCTTGATTTTCTTTCTCTGAAACCAGCTGAGAGTTTCCTTTGCCATATGTTTTGGATCGTTGTCCTGCTTGAAGGTTCACACACATCTCATCCTCATCGTCCGGGTGGATGGCAGCAGATTCATTTCTCTCGGTACATGGCCCCATTAATTTTTCCTTCAATTATATGAACTCTGCCAGTACCATGAGATGATAAACCAGCCTCACACCATGGTGCTTCCACCCCCAAAACGTCACGGTTGGTACCGTATTTTTTTGGGTGATGCACATTGCCATTTCTCCTCCAAACACGGTGCGTAGTATGACAGCCAAAGAGTTCAATTTTGGTCTTGTCTGACCGGACAACATTCTCCCAGTATTTTGTAGGCTTTTCCAAATGTCTTGTAGCAAGCTTTAGATGAGCTTCAGCATGCCTTTTCTTCAGTGATGGAGTCTTGCAGGGTGAGCACACACAGAGACTGTGCTGGTGGAGAGCATTGCCTATTGTGTTCTCTGTAACAAGTGCACCTGCCATCTCCAAGTCTTTCTGGAGCTCTTTCCTTAGTGGTCCTTGGCCCTTGGGCTGCTCTTCTTATTATCCTTCTGACTCCCTAGTCAGAAATCTTGCAAGGAGCTCCTGTGCCTGGCCGGTTGATGGTGGAGTGATGTTCCTTCCACTTGCGGATAATGGCCCCAGGGGTGCTTACTGGAGGATTCAGAAGTTTTGAAATACGTCTGTAACCAGTACCAGTACCAAAGAAAATTTGACATCGTAAGGGGAGGCATAATTGGGTCTGTTATGTCTTACTCCTTACGCAAGAAGGGATTGTTTTGAATACCGTGTGTCCTTGTCTCATGGTAGCCGGCACGGGGTTGGTTCCGCAGACCCTGAAGACCTTGGAGAAACGGGCAGCGGCGAAGGTGGGGAGAAACCACCTGCAGGAAGGGATTTGAAGCTGGCCCAACTGGGGCACAAAGAGTTGTAATTATAAAGTGGTCGCAGTAGGTCATACGCAATATGCTATGCGGTACTACAAATGTATAAGTAGTTATCACATTAATCATATTGTGGCACCAGGCGGGGCGCATGTCCCAGCATGCCCGGCGTGCAATTGTAAGTAGCCCTTGTTGTTGTTGTTGTTGTTGTTGTTGTTAATGTTAATGGTTACATTTCCCTATTGTCACGCGTCTGTTTGCCCGTGTCTTGTGTGTACCCGGTCCAATCCTCGCTTGTATTTAGGTTGTGTAAATCTCCCACCGTGTGTGCATCTTACAGTTCGGCGTCTGACAGCCGTGTATTTGGTTCAGTGCTCATTGGGTGCCTGTTGTAGTCCCTTTAAGGACTGATAATAAAGAGCATGTTTTGCTCAGCAAGCAAGTCTCCTTGTCACTCTCTGCTCCCGCGATGCCTCGGTCAGTCCGGCGCCACAATATGTTAACCATGTATTTACAGTGAATCAAAATCTATATCCATATCTCAAGTAGGAGTCTAGCAGTCGAGACATGTTTTGGAAAATTGAGCAAAATAGGTGGATGTACCCTGCTGCCAAGGTGAACCAATAGAGGAGGAGAATTGTGTTTGTTATATGTTTGAGCCTGGTTTGTTGCTGTTTCATGACCAATCGGGACTTAGAAGTCCTTATAGGGAATTGGGAGTTATGGTTTATCAACTGGTGGCTCTTTGTGCTCGGGGTACTTGGTACCTGGTGCCAGAGTGTGATGGAGCGCTTTGCTGGATAGCTGGAATATAAGAGAAAAAACATTGATGTGTTCAATACTTATTTCCCCCAAATATAGCAATTGCTTGAGATAACAGATGTGTCATGATTCATTAATGATGAACAAACATGAGATCATGTAACTAAGACCTGGTTTGTGGTTAATTAATACATGTGTAATAGCATTATACTACACTTTGTGCCCCCTCACATAAAGTTTTACTGCATTGAGTAAATAAAGCTGGACAAATTCAGTTCTTTTGTGTTTTCATTTCAGGCTGTAAAGCAATGAAACTTGATTTTTTGACAGGGGGTAATGCTTACAATACCCACTGTATACTGGTGTCTTGATGAAATCTGGTTTAACAATGTGGGGGTATATTGTGATTTAATACTATTGTTATGTTATTGATCATTGGGTGGGGTATTCGCTGTGTTTTGTGCTGAAGTGTTCAGGGGCTCAAATTTTTCCTGCTTGTGTGTGGATTTCATATTTTCGCAGTGTCTGCATAC